TACACCGTTGGGAAAACGAAACGAAACGAAAAAGAAACGAAACGAAACGAAACGAAACGAAAGATAGGTCCCATCATTTCATTGCATGTGATTGTTGCATTTAACCCCAATAGTGGGGTCACTTACTGAGTATTTCTTTAAATACTCAGGCCATGTGCTACTACATTTTTCAGGTTAAGGCAAGGCATTCCTGTACGGCTGACGACGGCATCGCAACTCGAGATCATGGCAGCTGCATAGGCTAGTGGTATTTATTTTCCTAGACTTAGGATAGAATAGGATGTCTTAAACTTAAACGCTTATTTATTTTATATTGGGTCTTTTGTTGTGTCGTTTTAAAGATGTTTTCGAAACACGTAAGTCCATGGCTGTGTTTTTAAGTTAAAGGTTATGTTTTATGGAATTTAAATGAAGTCTTCCGCATTCAATGTTTATGGTATGTATACAGTAGCGACCTTAAATTAAGTAGAAAATTTTGGGTCGTTACAATTTTGGTACTTCGGGAACTTCAAGTTTAGGTAATTGAGGTAATTTTGGGAGTTCAGGTTTCGACAATTCGGGCACTTTAGGCTTTTCCAAAGGAGGTAACTCAACCTTCGGCAATTGAGGAAGTTCGGGCTTTGACAAACTAGGTACTTCTGGCTTCGGAAGCTCTTCAGGCACCTTGGGTAGTGGCATCTCCAAAAGATGTCTCGCACTCACCGCCATGACAAAACAATCGAAGCTCATCAACATAAAAGCACTTAATATGAGAGAAGATATAAAAGTCGAAAAGTAAGTAGCCATTGAATTTCGAAATAATCAATATCAATGGTGAAAGGAAGTTGACTCTCTCCATGGCTAGGATGCAAGGCTTTTATAGATAAAAGAGACGTATGAGCATACATGCGTTGGAGGAGATGATGGGTAGAAAAATTAGATTGTTAGTTCAACTTTCCCACCTACTCGTATCTAAACTGCAAAGTGGCCTCCTAATTTACCATCTTTCTTTGTAAAATAAATATATTTATTCTCTAATGTTCTTTGATTATATTATTTATTTATATAGAATTATTGAGGTCGGATACCCATTTAGGAATAGCGACCGTTGCATGATTAGGATAAACATAACAATCGTTTTCCTATCTGACCGTCGCAGCATTATGATAAACATAATGGTCGTTTTCCTGCCTAACCGTCACATCATTATGATATCCATAATGATCGTTTCTTGCCTAGCTGTCGCAGCATTATGATATCCATAATGATCGTTTTCCTGCTTCGTAATATACGCATCCGTACCATCGTAAAAAAGGTAAGGGGTATCCTCCAACATGAGCACACAATAATGCATGAGGTCCAACATTTCTCTATTTTCATTATCAATTAATACACCTTCATATAATATCATATCATGAATCATAATAGTCACGTAGCCTATTTCGGGTGTGCCTTCAACACATCTTAGACTATGTAGAAAATTTAGGATCGTTACACCTAATCTTCTATTGAATTTAAATATGCATACACATATTACAAGTCCAATAATTGGAAGTATACTTCATATTAACATTGAACCAAATACTTACATAACTAGAAAGATTCAATTGTTTTTTGTTTTCTTCCAAGAACTCATATAATAAAATTAAAAAAAAACTATTTTTGTAACCTAACTTTCGGTCCAAGAATCAAATAAATATTGTTTAATTATTTAAAAAAATTAAGTACATATAGACATTCAATAAGCTATTGTTAATGGTTAACTCCATATAAATAAATAATATAATCAAAGTACATTAGAGAATAAATATATACTCTCGAACTCAACATTTGTTGCAACAAACTTGATTTATTTTACATAGATATGAGTAGGTGGGAAGTTGAACTAATGATCATCTCCTCTGACGCATGTATGTTCTCTTCCGTACGTCTCTTTTATCTATAAGAACCTCTGCATTGTAGCTATAAAGATCATCCAACCAACTATCGTAAAGAAGTCAAGTTCCTTTCACGATTCATATTCTATAATTCATTTTTTGTTACTGTCTTTTGATTATTTCGAAATTCAATGGCTACTTACTTTTCGACTTTTGTATCTTCTCTCATATTGAGTGCTTTTTATGTTCATGAGTTTCGACTGTTTTGTCACAGCGGTGAGTGCGAGACATCTTTTGGAGATGTCACTACCCAAGGTGCCTGAAGAGCTTCTGAAGCCAGAAGTACCTAGTTTGTCAAAGCCCGAGCTTCCTCCATTGCTGAAGGTTGAGTTACCTCCTTTGAAAAAGCCTAAAGTACCCGAATTGTCGAAACCTGAGCTCCCAAAATTACCTCAATTGCCTAAATTTGAGGTTCCCAAAGTACCAAAATTGCCCAACTTGCCTAAACCTGAACCCCCTAAGTTGCGTGAATTCACACCTCTCCCAAAGCCCGATTTGCCTACCCTTCCAAAGGACATTCCTATCCCTTCCTTCAACCCACCACATACATCTACCACTAAACCTTGAATACCGTATTCAACTTTGGTTTACAAGAATGGAACTAAACGTGCATCATATACGACAAAAAACTATATTTGTTTCACTTTTTAACTATCATTTTTAGTATGTGTACGAGTTGTTTATGTATGTTTTCTTTATTCTTGTCTACGTTTCTATACTTGTTAAAATGTTGCCTTTTAAATTTATAAAACTATATTATATGAGAAAAATTGAATTATTATATACGACAAAAAAACTGTGGAAATTTTAATTTTTATGGCAATAAATAACTATGAACTATTATGGTATATGTATGATATGGTTCGACAATCATCTTTTAAGCCGATATGTTATGGTACAATGATGATTGACAAACGTTGTCAATTCATAATCAATATTAATATAATCTTGAATAGTATTTGATTGTCGTACAAGAGCATCATGTTTAAATAATGATCTATAGTATAGGGATAAGGCTAGGTGTCTTATCTTACTAACACTATTGATACAACGCATTTTGCAGTTGCTACAAATGATTTAATCTAAATCATTCATGTGGAGACATGTGAGTGGGGGTATCCTCTAAAATGAGATTGAATAAGACTAGATCACAAAATATTTAATCTCTCTTTACAAATTCGTTAACTAAGAAGATTAATATCTTAATCCTGAGTGAGTTATGAACTTCTACCTATCAAGGTTTGTCTTTTGGTTTGTAGGGTGAGAATGACTTTTATAACCAATTACATATGTATATCATTTTGGAGACTTGACTAAATAGGGAGCTGGAACATAATATCATTTTGGTGACTTGACCAAATAGGGAACTGAAACATAATATCACAAGATCAAATTCACTCATTTCCACGTATGGAAAGTAGATGAGTTGTTTAAGTGCTTATTTCAAGATTTGAATAATCGAGTCTCACCCTCTCATTTGCCTTAGTGGGACGTAGGGGGACTCGTGAAGAATTAACTTGTTTGTCATGATTATATCAATTAACACATTTTATCCTACAATGCATAACCGTTAAACTATAAATGTAACACCCCTAATTTTCTTGCCTAAATCAAAGACATCACTACATGCATACCTTCAATAACATATGCGAAAATTTAAATAAAACGTTTTAAACAAAGTCATGGACTTCTACGTTTAATTTAAAACAAGACATAACATTGTCAAAATAAAACCTTAATATAATGTTTGAGTACGAAAATGAAAAACCACCTATAAGACTACCCGTTGAAAACACTGTATAGTAATATATTATCTTAACTTCCATGGACATTCTGGCATTCACTGTCATCGGTGCAAGGATGTTCTACCTTTACCTGAAAAATAAGAGTGGCACATAGCTTGAATATTTTAAGAAATACTCATCAAATAACCCATTGTTGGGGTTGGGTAATGCAAACACATACATACATGATGAGACCTATCCTTTAAAATCGTAGCAAGGCTTTGATCTTTTTCCAGTTCCGAGCAAGATTAGATATGTAGTACTTCCTTACACACGGCTCACGCACGCACATATGGATCCACCAGGCGGGCACGTATATGTATATCTTGCGTATGGCTTGGTCAGGCTCAACGCGCTAACGCGTTGGCAGATGCCACGAAGGAAAAGGCCTACATGATATCATGACGAACATAAATATCGAAGGTACACGTCCGTACTAACATAACATGGAAATATCCTGATGCACATGACATACATAAATGCATATGAGGTCCCCATGGTTTAAAATCATACCATAACATCAAAATCATTCCCTTCTTCCTTTCATCCATGACATAGTACATATATGTGTCACGTATACATATTAATCATCATGGTTTTCATCTTAAATCATCACATAATTCATCACATAGCTTTACATGGCAAAACGTAGCATGACTGACATACATGGTGTTTCATTTCACATATCATGACATAATGGATATCATAAACGTACATAACATGGTATTATACGTCATTTCATAGCACATACAAACATAATATAACATTATGGCGCATGTAGGGGCTAGAGGACATGCGTCATCATAAATCATACAATTCTTTCAACTCCAACACTAAGGTTAGTTACCTATTTATCCTTGACAAATTAGTCGGCTAAATGAAATTATTGTTGCAAGAGCATCAAACAGATACGATATAAATCATATAGCATCTCCACAATTATTTGATTTTAATAATTGATTAGAGCTTCTTTAATAAGATATCATAATAATGAAGTGATTTATTTTGGCTAGAGTCACCATTGAACATCGGATTTAAGCTGTCATTATTGGTAATTTTTAACTTAAATATATGTTATGAGGTTTCGATGTGATTGTGAATTGACATTGTTTGTCAACAGTCGTCCCATCGTACAAGAACACTTAAAATGATGACAAATATGGAATTATCAATCATACATAGTAAAATAGTTTGTAATGGTCACAAAAAAAAATCAAATTTATTGTAGTAAAATTTCTACCTCTCGGTAAGATAAAACTACATCAAAACACAAATCGATATTTATTCAGGTAATATAGTATTTCATATAGAAAACAACATCTTATAAGTATAAGAACACGAAACAAACAAGAATTGAGACAAGATATATAAACCTCTCATATGCTTACTAGAAATGATAATTAAAAAGAAGAAAAAAAACGAAGTATAGTTTTCAGTTGTGTATGAATGTATCTTTAATTCAACTCTTGTAGCCCACAATTGAATATGCTATTCAAGGTTTAATGGTAGTTGCGTGTGGTGGGTTGAACGAAGGGATGGGTATGTCCTTTGGAAAGGTAGGCAAAACGGGCTTTGGTAGAGGTGTAAATTCAGGCAACTTAGGGAGTTCGGGTTTTGGCAAGTTAGGCAATTTTGGTACTTCGGGAACCTCAAGTTTAGGCAACTCAGGTAATTTTGGGAGCTCAGGCTTTGACAACTCGGGCACTTTACGTTCTTCCAAAGGAGACAACTGAGGTAATTTTGGGAGCTCAGGTTTAGACAATTCGAGCACTTTAGGCTTTTCTAAAGGAGGCAACTGAGGTAATTTTGGGAGTTCAGGTTTAGACAATTCCGGCACTTTGGGCTTTTCCAAAGGAGGCAACTGAGGTACTTTTGGGAGCTCAGGCTTTGGCAATTCAGGCACTTTAGGCTTTTCCAAAGGAGGCAACTCAACCTTCGGCAATGGAGGAAGCTCAGGCTTTGACAAAATAGGTACTTCTGGCTTCGGAAGCTCTTCAGGTACCTTGGGTAATGGCGACTCCAAAAGATGTCTCGCACTCACCGTCATCACAAAAAAATCGAAGTTCATCAACATAAAAGCACTAAGGATGAGGGGGAATACAAAAGTTGAGAAACGAGTAGCCATTGAATCTTTGAAACGGTCCAAAGACAATAACACGAGATGAATTATAGATTATCGAAACTCGAAACAATCTTGATTCGTTTGTGGTAGTATGATGATCTCCATGCCTACCATGTCTAACTTTTTATAGATAAAAGAGACGTGGAAGAGAGCATACATGCGTTGGAAATCAAATGATGGGTAGGAAAATTCGATTGTTTGTTCAACTTTGCCACCTACTCATACTTAAACTCCCAAGTGACCTCGTAATTTGAGAACCTTTCTTAAAATAAAATAGTTGCAAGAATAAAATAATTGTTTATTTGATTTTTTGCACTTTATAAAATTTAAAATAATTATTAAAAATAAACCCTTTACATGTATTTATTTTCAATTTATTATTTTTATTTCACTTTTTAATTAATTAAAATATATTTCAAGAAAATTTCTATTTAAATTTATAAATAATGAGAATAAATTTCTACATAAAAATATAATATTGCAAAAAAGTGTGAATTTAGTGTCTAGTGTGTATAATTCAAACTTTTATAAAATATTATTGTTATCATGTTTATACATATAACGTGGACGTTGGGGTTGGAGCTGGGAACGACAAGAGATGGAAGCGGAGATAAAAAATGCAATCTTGTGTTCGTCGTCATCGTTTAGATAATGAAAAAGTTGACGTTAAGAGTTGGCTTACTTGCCAAACAAAGTAGATGATATGGATGGAATTTGTTGGCCAAATCATGATTGATGCATTCCCTATTGACCTTTTGATGTTCATAAAAATGTAATTGAATTATTGATGTAGCTTAAAGTTGATTTCGACGTCCATGTCGATTGCAAGTGTCGATGTCCATGTCCATGTTCTTGTTGATTGCATTAACATATCACACGTCAAACAATTATAGAATATGACACGTGTAGAGTCATAGAGCACACATTATTCATACATATGTAAGTCGTTCAACTAAGCTAATAGTAAAGTCACTTATTTGGTTAGCCTAAGTCGAAATCATTATGTTTTTTTGGTACTAACTTAAAGTTGCTTATTGAAGTCTAATTCTACTTGGGTAGTCCCACGATCATAATTTAAAATTCTACAATGGAACTTGACTTATCTAATCGTATAAAATAATTGAATTGGCTAAAAGGTAGTCATATTGAACTTAAATGACTCTAAAAGTGTCATGAACGGAACTCGAAGAGTTGAAAATGGCATAAAATGGTCCGAACGTATCAAATTCAAGCTAGATCAACTGAAAACCTCGAATTGGAGTCATCAAAAATGTAGCGTTGAGACACCATAAGCACGTCTAAGCGCTACACATAAACAACACCAAATATCAGCTGAGAGACAATTTGTATACAGATGTCTCGATGGCATCCCGATGTCTCGAACGTTGTTGATCGGCATGGCAATAGAAGCATCGCAATGTTGTCCCATTCAAACTTTTGACTTCATTTCTTCTTCTATTTTTTTTATTATTATTATTTCTTCGGTTCAAATGATCTAATTTTTCACATAAACTTTGTTTGATGGAAGTTTGAATGTAACATCTTTGTCGATTATAATTGTATTATATTACAACAACCGTCTATTAAACCATTGATACGATATCAGTCTCGAATTGTCATAAAAAAAATCAAATTATTGCAAGAAAAATTAAAATATCTACTTCCATGTAAGATAAAATTATATCGAAACATCATTAAAATTATCTTACACAAAAAAGAAAAAAAAAAGCACAAATCAATGTTCATATAATATATTTTATCTGCGTAGAAGACAACATCTTAAAAATGGAAGAACAAGATATGAATAGAGACAACGTACATAAACAACTCGTATACATACTAAAAATGATAGTTAAAAAGAGAAAAACAAATATAGTTTCCAATCGTATATGAATGTATGTTTAGTTCAACTCTCGTAAACCAAAGTTGAATATGATATTCAAGGTTTAATGGTAGATGTGTGTGGTGGGTTGAACGAAGGAATAGGAATGTCCTTTGGAAGGGTAGGCAAAACAGGCTTTGGGAGAGGTGTCAATTTCGGCAACTTAAGGAGTTCAGGTTTAGGCACATTAGGCAATTCTGGTACTTCGGGTACGTCAAATTTAGGCAATTGAGGTAATTTTGGGAGCTCAGGTTTTGGAAATTCAGGCACTTTAGGCTTTTCCAAAGGAGGTAACTCAACCTTCAGCAATGGAGGAAGCTCGGGGTTTGACAAACTGGGTAGTTCTGGCTTCGGAAGCTCTTCAGGCACCTTGGGTAGTGGCATCTCCAAAAGATGTCTCGCACTCACCGCTATGACAAAACAATCAAAGCTCGTCAACATAAAAGCACTCAATCTGAGAGAAGATGCAAAGGTCGAAAAGTAAGTAGCCATTGAATTTCGAAATAATCAAAAGACAGTGACAAGAGAACGAGCTTGACGACTGATTTGGATGATCTCCATGGCTACCATGAAGAGGTTTTTATAGATATTAAGAGACGTAGGGAAGAGATGATGGGTAGGAAAATTGTATGAGATGTTGAATGAAGTTTACGAACGGAATTGGGATACAATATAACGACCCAAGCCCACCGCTAGCAGATATTGTTCTCATTTTGCTTTCCCTTTCGAGTTTCCCCTCAAGGCTTTAGAACGCATCTGCACGGGAAATATTTCCACACCCTTGGTGTTTCGTCCTCTCCTCCCCAACCAATGTGGGTTCTCACATACAAAATATATAAATTGACAGCCTCACACTATGTAGACAACATGAACGCCTCGGGTCGACACCCCTCATCTTGACATGTGGCATCATTCACTTGACAATGGAAATGTAGTAATGGGTGAGTATAAAAAATACTCAATTAGCAAACTACTTGTAGGCACTCATTGTTTCTTTACCTTAGAAGGTTCCCACGAGCTTCTCTCTAGGCTCTAAGAAATTTTGGGCTAGCCTCTAGTGTAATTGTAGGCAATCACAAGGCACGACACGGACAAAGACCACAGGGCACATGTCATTTATACTTCAAACAATTCATCCAAAGCTAACCGTAAAGTCGTTTACTTGATTAGCCTAAATCGGACTTATTATCTTATCCTTAGTGTTATTTTGAAACTACCTTGGGGCAAGTTAACTGTCTCCATTAAGGTCAAAAATAGCTCCAAAATGGTTAGATAGAATCATAAAGATCAAATCATGGATCGAGTCATGGGTCGGGTCACTGGATCAATGCATGTCTAGAAGTTGGGTCATTGGTGGATTATTGGGCTATAGGCATACTACTAAGCTAGACTACATAGATCGTTGGGCTGGAGTGGTCTAGGTCGTGGGTGTCGCTTGTGTGGGCTAGACAGTCGAAGATGACGTAGGTTCAATCGATCTGTCATTGTAACCTCACCATAAATATACGATGATGGAAGTTTAAGTTTCAATGTTGATTACAAATTGACGTCTTTGTCAATCATCGTTGTACCGTACTATCGCAACTAAAAGGATGGTGATTATGAGAAACCGTTATCATACATATATAAAATTGTCGTAAAAATCAATTTTGTTGTAAGATAAATTAAATTTTCTACTCCATGTTCGGTGAAATATCATTAATATTATCAAAGACAAAAGAAAAAAAAACACAAATCAATGTTTATTAATATAATATAGTGTGGAAGACAATTTCAAAGTATAGGAACACATACATGAATAGAGACGACAAACGTAAACAACTCAAACACTCACTACAAATGATAATTAAAAAGAGAAAAACAAATATAGTTTTCCGTCGTATATGAATGTATCTTTAGTTCAATTCTTGTAGCCCGAAGTTGAATATGGTATTCAAGGCTTAATGGTAGATGTGTGTGGTGGGTTGAACGAAGGAATAGGTATGTCCTTTGGAAGGGTAGGTAAAACGGGCTTTGGTAGTGGTGTAAATTCAGGCAACTTAGGGAGTTCAGGTTTAGGTAATTCTGGTACTACGGGAGCCTCAAGTTTAGGCAATTGAGGTAGTGTTGGGAGCTCAAGCTTTGACAATTCGGGCATTTTAGGCTTTTCCAAAGGAGGGAACTGAGGCAATTTGGGGACCTCAGGCTTAGACAATTCGGGCATTTTAGGCTTTTCCAAAGGAGGCAACTGAGGTAATTTTGGAAGCTCGGGCTTTGGCAATTCGGGAACTTTAGGCTTTTCCAAAGGAGACAATTGAGGTAATTTTGGGAGCTCGGGCTTTGGCAATTCGGGCACTTTAAGCTTTTCCAAAGGAGGCAACTGAGGTACTTTTGGGAGCTTAGGCTTTGGCAATTCAGGCACTTTAGGCTTTTCCAAAGGAGGCAACTCAACCTTCGGCAATGGAGGAAGCTCAGGCTTTGACAAACTGGGTACTTCTGGTTTCGGAAGCTCTTCAGGTACCTTGGGTACTGGTGTCTCCAAAAGATGTCTCGCACTCACCGTCATCACAAAACAATCGAAGCTCATCAACATAGAAACACTCAGTATGAGGGAAAATACGAACGTTGAGAAGCGAGTAGCCATTGAATTTTCAAAACAGTCAAAAAAAACAATAACCCCAGATGAATTATAGACTATCGAATCTCGAAACGATCTTGATTTGTCCCCATGGCTAACATGTATAGGTTTTTATAGCTAAAAGAGACGTGTTGGAGAAGAAATGATGGGTAGGAAAATTAGATTATTAGTTCAACTTTCCCACCCACTCATCAGCTTCTTTCTTATAAAAATAAAATTAAAATTAAAGGTTGGATATCTTTTATGTATACTTTATATTTTAAATTATAAAACATTATTTTATTTTATTTTTATTATTTTGTTTGCTAAGGTGTTATACCCGATTAATTAATTTAATTTCAAAAGTAATATTGAAAAGTTTGGATATAACGTCATAGACAGTTTTCGTCCATATATCGATGGTAAGAATTTTTCTTTTAACTTTTTTTTTATAAAAGTAAAACGTGTTAATACTACTTTTAATATTTCATGTGTAACGATCGTAATTTTCTAGTAACCTAAAGTTGCAACCGTCATCATAACGTATTTTCTTATGTGGAAATAAATGTTTAAAGTTCATCATAAAACACTACCATAG